CTCGGAATTTGAATTTTGAATCACATAGTTAGGGATTTTGATTATATATGTGGCTATCTCTACAATGGGTCGGGTTGGGTTGAGGCATCAGTAACTCACGTTTGAGATTTTAATTGTTTGGCAATCCTCATTAATGGCACACTATTCCGTCAACATAACCCCCAAACACGCCCATTAGTCGCTACTACATCCTTGTCACATTCCAAACACAACATATAGTAGCAAAATGGTAAGACCACATACAATAGGACCACGCAGTATACAAGAAAACAATTGGGACCAATTCGATCACAAGTTCACAAAACGGGATTTATGGGTCAATCCCTCATTAAATAATTGGAACTAATACAGATAATGTGAAAACACAAAAATAAATAAGATAAAATATATATTGTCGTGTCAAATAAATGATTACATAATTTTTTCATTTATATATCTATCAAATTATTAATAAAAATGGGGTTAAGTATTATGTTAATTAAAATCTTAAAAGAGCTCCATATTATTATGCCAAAATTGTATGATTTATTGTATTTTTTTTTTCAAACCTTAAGAAAGATTACTATAATTTACCCAAATATTTTTTCATCTCTTTCAATTTTATGCTTTAGTTTCTTATGTCTTTTATGAGATATTGAAAGGGTTAATTGCATCAAATACAACATTTTTTAAAGGTAAAGTTGGGGAGCCTCTATTTACCTACCACCAATTCTCTCATCTCAAACCATTTTCTTTATTCACACCACACTATTTCTCAATTAACATAATCAAATTCCTCAAATACCCTTATTTTTTCACTAATCGTAACCACGTCCACCGTCAACATCGGAGTTGCTCCACCCTTAGTTGTCTCATCCCTCTCAGCCACTCATCTCTCTCTCTCTCTCTCTCTCTAAATAATTGGAACTAATACAGATAATGTGAAAACACAAAAATAAATAAGATAAAATATATATTGTCGTGTCAAATAAATGATTACATAATTTTTTCATTTATATATCTATCAAATTATTAATAAAAATGGGGTTAAGTATTATGTTAATTAAAATCTTAAAAGAGCTCCATATTATTATGCCAAAACTGTATGATTTATTGTATTTTTTTTTTAAAGCTTAAGAAAGATTACTATAATTTACCCAAATATTTTTTCATCTCTTTCAATTTTATGCTTTAGTTTCTTATGTCTTTTATGAGATATTGAAAGGATTAATTGCATCAAATACAACATTTTTCAAAGGTAAAGTTGGGGAGCCTCTATTTACCTACCACCAATTCTCTCATCTCACACCATTTTCTTTATTCACACCACACTATTTCTCAATTAACATAATCAAATTCCTCAAATACTCTTATTTTTTCACTAACCGTAACCACGTCCACCGTCAACGTCGGAGTTGCTCCTCCCTTAGTTGTCTCATCCCTCTCAGCCACTCATCTCTCTCTCTCTCTCTCTCTCACTCTCTCTCACACCTATTTACAATTTTTCACTCTCTCCCAATTGCAATCTACTCTCTTCGTCGGGCTGTAGTGGTGAGAGGTTTCACGGAGGAGGCGGTGGTGGTGGCAATGGCTGGTGGTTTTGAGGGAATGAGATTGCAATCTTTCTTTCTCCTACTTGCGATTTCTCTCTCTCAATCGCGATATGCTCTCTTCATCGGCTTGTTACGGCCCTGTGGCTAGGGTAGATGACGAGAAGGGGGCAGAGGCGTGAAGGCTCACAGAGGAGACAGTGGTGGTGGCTAGGGGTTTTTGGAAAATGAGAGAAGGGTAGAGGAAGCAACAGAGGGAGCTGCAGAGGTAGCTGGCTAGGGGAGGTGACAGGAGGGGGGCAGGTGCTGCGAGGGTTGGCGATTAGATGGCATTGTTGGCGCCGATTAGGGTTTGCATAGAGAACCGTCCAATGGTTTGAATTGTGATGTCCTTTTTGGTAATTTTCTAGAAGTTCAAAATGAGAATTAAAAAAAAAAATTGAAAAATGATGTGGGGTGTGTAAATAGAAGCTCAGTAAAGTTGTTTTTAAAAAGTTTATGTTTTGGTCAAAGTTTAAAAGATAATTTTTGTTGTTGGAAAAATTGAAATTATTTTTTTTGGTTTTAATTTTGTAGCTGAAAATAGACAGTTATTTTTGGCTAAATTTGTAAATCATGACTAAAAAAAATGAATCAAAACAAGTCTCAATAGGCTTAACGTAGGGTAATTATTCAATAATATGCATTGCTACGTGGTGCTTAAAACAAATGTAATAAAAAAAATTATAAGTAAAATATGTTGACTCATAATTGAAATATTTAATATATTTTTGTGTAAAATATCATATTAATCACTCTTGACATTTATAAGAAATACATTTTATTTTATAATTTTGATATAATTACATAAACTCCCTATTAATAGGCTAAATCAACCGAAATTAATATAAATAGTGTGAAATTATAATAATAAACAAAGAAAAAAATTCATTTAAGTGTAAAAGATAAGACATTATTTTTATCATCCATATAATTAACTAATTTTAGTAACAGGAGAGTTAAATATTATGTGAATTAAAATCTTAAAAAAATGCAAATGTAATTATATCAAAACTATATGACTTATTATATTTTTATAAATTTGAGAAAGGTTACCCTATATGTTTTAACAAGATAATTATAAATAAATAAATAAAATAAAGGACAAATTACACTCACCTCCTTTGAAGATTAAGAAAAATATCGTTAGGTCCACAAGTTTGACATAATTACACTGACATCATTTTTAATAAAAGTAAAGCAATATCAAAATTAATCTAAATGGTGGTAAACACTGAAATAAAATAAGAAAAATATATATTTTAATATAAAAGAGATAATAACATTATCTTTTAATCTATATGACTAATAAATTATTAATAAATAAAAAAAAGATTAAGTATTATGTGAATTGGAACTTCAAAGGAGACTAGTGTATGTGCCTGTTTGGTAGAAATTATAATCAGCTTATTTCAGCTTTCAGCTTAATTTAAGCTATTTTGATGTGTTTGGTTTAGCTTATAGCTTATAACTTATAGTTTTTTGAAAGTCAAAAATCAGCTTATTCTTTGAGTGGGGCAGGAGATGCTTTAAAAATAAGTCAGAAATCAGCTTATGTTCATAGTTATAAGCTATAAGCTATTTAGGTATAAGCTGTTTAGGTATAAGCTATAAGCACTTTTCCACAGCTTTGTCAAACAGGGCTTATGTTAAGATTAAGTTACAAACACATGCTTAAAATATGAATTGTTCTTTATAATTCTGAAAATTATAAATATCCCTTGGTCAGAATTTGTCACTTAACAAAGTTAGTATGAAAAAAAAAAAAATTCTTAACTACCTTCCTTTATAATAATAAAATTACCAGAATTGTTGATTAAAAATTGTTAATAAATGTTTAATTAATGAAAGTAGATTATTTGTTATGCGATTAGAAATTTGAAAGGATGAAATGTAGATTATGTTTGGTTTGAGTTTTTGAAGTGATTTTTTATTTTTATTTTTTTAAAAAATAGAAACTAATTTGACAGAACTAAATATTAAAAATATATTTTAAAAATTTTAAAAATTATTTCCATTCTTAAAAAAGATAAAATTATATAAAAACGATAAGTGCTTCTGAATTTTTTATTTTTTTCACGAAACTAATTTTTAGTTTCTTAGAAAAAAAATTCTTAAACATGTTTATGAAAATCAAACCAAAATGACTAATTCCAAAAATAACATGAGACAATCAGTATTTTAATCATCTCAAATGATATATTTGTAATTTGTTTGGTTTGAAATTTTTAAAAATAATTTTATAAGTTTTTAATTCGTATTTTTTTTAGTGATTTTTTTAACGTTTTAATCAAATTTTGTTTACTTTCTAAATTTAGTTTATCTAGATATACCTAAAAATCATTAAATACAATAAAATAAAAAAATGTTATGAATATTTTTTATATATTTTTAATATTCAATGAATTTTTAAAAGATTTTTATGCAAGATTTGTACTCTTGAATATTAGATTAATTCAAATCTTAAAAAAAATTACGTTAATTGAATCTAAAATCTAAAAAAATAATTAAATATTAAAAATTATACTAAAATCAAAATTCAAAATACTATTTTAAAAAGTTTTTAAAATAAAAATCCGGAAGATTCTGAAAATGTAAGGTGTGAAATAATCTCAACCAATCAAAAAGACTGAATAAAAAAAAGTCTCAACCAATCAAAAATCGACAACGTTATTGACGAAACCACTCTGGTTTTATCTTTTACCCAGATCTCAGTCTGCCCCACCTGGTTTTCCATATCCAAAACCACACACAAAATCACTACGCACATTAGCCTCCGTTTGGGATGTGGGTTGGGTTTTTGGCTTTTTGGCTATTTTAGTCTGGGTTATTTTAGCCTGGTTTGGGAAGGGTTTTTTGGCTTTTTGGCTTTTTTGGTTTTTTTTGTGAGAGAGGATTGTAATGATTAGGGGTTAGATTTGATGTTTTATTTTTTGTGACTAAAATAGCCTATTTTGTTTTTTGTGGCTATTTTAACCCCAAACTCACCCAAACCTTCTTGAGACCCCACCTAATTACAAATTCTTATATTTTCTTATATTTATGAATTACCTAATATAAAATTTTGAGTTCTATTTTTTTTAATTATAATACATATAGAGTATCACGTGGTACTGTCTGTCTCTGAACCAATCAATAACTTTTCACATAAATTACACAATAGAAATAGAGAATGATAGACTTTATTTGGAAACACTATTTTTTTAATTTAAAAATTAAAAACTTATTAAAAAGTTAAAAATTTAATAAATTATACAAAAATGTTAAAAAAATATTCCTTTTTTATTTTTTACACAACTTTCATTCTAAAAATATTATAATATTATTTTATATTTTATATTTTAATTTAAAATCAAAAAATTATTAAAATAATCTATTTTCAAAAAGACTTTCAGTTTATTTTCATATCTCTCTCTCTCTCTCATAAAAACACAAACACCAACCCAACAACATAAACCACTACCTCTTTTATAGAATGCTCAACAAAGACATATATGGATATAACAACCAGATGGGTAAATAAATAGAGAGAGAAAAACCACCCATCTCCATCACCCCCCTACATTCTGTCCAGACTTTTGTTGCAGAAAGAAGGAAGTGTTTGGATAGCGAGAAAATGGGGAGGGGAAAAGTGGAGCTGAAGAGAATAGAGAACAAGATCAATCGGCAAGTGACTTTCTCGAAAAGGCGTTCTGGGTTGCTGAAGAAAGCTCACGAGATCTCTGTCCTTTGCGACGCCGATGTCGGTCTCATCATCTTCTCCGCCAAAGGCAAGCTCTTCGAGTACTCCACCACTTCCTGGTTCGTCCCCCTCCATTTCCTTCTTGATCTCTCCTTTGATTATTATTATTATTTTTATTACAATTGAAATTGAATTAATAACTTGTTGATCGTTGACTTTTTAATTTTTTATTGATTTGATTTTTTTCTACGTGTTTTATTCATCTATTTCAAGAATTGTATGATCAAAAGCATTTTCTTCTTCAACACTCATATTTTAAAGTTGTTATAGTTGAATTATTAGTATCTATTAGAGTGAGTAATAGTTTTTTTTTTTTTTTATCCACCCAAAAAAGTAATAGTTTTTTTATTTTTATTATTATTATTATATCGGCAAGAGTTAATAATTAGTTGAACATTATAGTGATTTTGGGTTGGCTTTATTATGTGATTTAATGTAAAAATTGTTGTATTTTGGTAAACTAGAACTGATATATAGATTAAATATAGCAGTACAAAATTTTGGGATAAATAGTCTCTCGTGCTTCATCATACAATTGATTTGCAATACTGTGGGCTATGAAGCCTGGGTGCAGGTACCAGTACGGGTACGCCGACACGGTAAAACTCCAAAAAAGTAGGGTACGGGTACGGCTGCGATACGCTGATATTTTTTTATTTTTTATAATTATGGTTAAAAGATCCAACCTACAAATTGAAGTTAAGGCCCCGTTTGGGGACTAACATTTTTAGCCAAAAAGTTACCATTTTAGCCAAAAAGCCAACAACTCATACAAAAAAGACAAAGATTCTCTTTTCTCTCTACTTTTTGCACATCTTTTCGTAATTAGCCAAAAAGTCATCCCAAACATATAAGTTTTTTTTACCTACCTTTTTAGCCAAATAGCCAAAAAGTTACTAAATCAGCCTGTTCCCAAACGAGGCCTAAATATCAAAACTAAAAAGAGAATTATAAAACTAAAAGACAAATTAGATAATGTTAATAAAAAAAAATTAATTTGGTCGAAGAAGAAAAAAAAATTAGATAATGTTAATAATCAAAAAAATTAATTTTAATCTAATTAACTTCGACATCAGATTATAAATTAGAGAAAAAAAAATTAATCTGATGTTGATGTTGGGAACACAAAAAATTAGAGAAAAAAAAATTAGAACACAGACGAGGGTTAATAAATTAGATCAAAACTTAAAAAAAAGGGTCGAAGTCGATTATACACAAAAAAGGGTTGAAGTCGATTATAATTTTTGATTATTTTGTGTTCCCAACATCAACATCAGATTATAAAGAAGAAACAAGAAACAAGAAAAAAAATAAAAAAAATAAAAAAGATGAAGAGATTATACCTCTCTGAAGGTCAAAGTCGCAGACGAGGGTCGAAGTCGATCTCTGGGTCGAAGTCGAAGACGAGGGTGATGGTCGATCTGTCGAAGACGAGGGTGATGGTCGAATCTCTGGCTCGAAGTCGAAGACGAGGTTGATGGTCGAATCTCTGGGTCGAAATCGAAGACGAGGGTGATGGTCGAAGTTGCCTCTTTGCTTCGATGAGATTAGGGCAGAAGTCGAAGTCGAGGGTGATGAGATTAGGGCAAATTCGTATATACATTTTTTTTAAAATTTTTTTTCTTAATATTACTCCGGTACCCCTCAATTCTTCACAAAATTTGATTTCTACCCCTGCCGTACCCAAAACGCACCAAAGGCATACCCATGCCGTACCCGAGCCGTACCCAACAGAGGCAGACGTACCCGACCACTTTACCCATGCCGTACCCAATAGAGGCAGACGTACTCGACCACTTTTTGCCGTACCCGGTACGCGTGCAGCCGTACCGGTACGCGTACCCGCACCTGGTAAGTACCCGGTGCATGTACGGCACTATTTTTGGAGTACTCGTGCTTCATAGACTGTGGGGAATGTTTTCAAAAATATGCAAACTATCAACTAAATGAGAAGCTTGATTTGTAATTTAGGCCAAGTTTGGGAAGACTAAAAAAGTGCACTTTTTGTCTTTTTGGACTAAAAACTTGAGGTTGAAAATATGGATGTTTGGGTTAACTTTTTGACGTTTTTATTGAAAAATGTGTAATCAAAGGCATACTTATGTCGTACCCGAGCCGTACCCATGCCGTACCCAATAGAGGCAGACGTACCCGACCACTTTTTGCCGTACCGGTACGCGTACCCGCACCCGGTAAGTACCCGGTGCGTGTACGGCACTATTTTTGGAGTAGTCGTGCTTCATAGACTGTGGGGAATGTTTTCAAAAATATGCAAACTATCAACTAAATGAGAAGCTTGATTTGTAATTTAATCTTCATATCTATTTTTGTACACAGGCATAATGATATTGATATGTTTATTTATATTTACATTAATTTGATATCTGCTTTCAGCTGACGTGGCAATGTATTTTGTATGCCAATTAATTATTTTTCATTCTTAATTTTTAATTTTAATTTTAATTTTAATTTTTGCAGCTCAAAATATTCATATTTTTTACTATAATTTTTTTAATGATTCAATGATTATTGAGTGTTGACACAGATCAACAAAAATATTTAGTGGCACCATTGTTATTTGAAAAATAATATATATGCAGTGGCGGATTAAAAAAATCATATGTAATCGACTTTGCTTTGGAAAATCTTGAAAATGACTATCACTACAAGTTTCTAAGGAAAGAGATAAATGTTATACTGTAGTTAATCTTTTTCCTTTTTCAGAAATTAATTTATAATTCTAGAATTAAGCAAATAAATATATAAATAAAGTCAATTTGATCGACATTAAACATCACAAACAAATCATGTAGACTAGATAACTATATAAAACAAGAAGGAAAATGATTAAAAAAAAAAAAGAAAAAGAAGAAGTTATTTAAATAAACTATAAAATAACACAGTTACAACAATAAGGTGCACCTATAAATATATGGACTAACAAAGATTATCAAAATGCACCAACACATCCACAAGACCACTAGACCACAAATTTTTATTGAAGAATATTAGAAATTTATAATTTTAAATTTTAAATTCATCTAGAATTATATGACAAGTGAGTTAGGTTTTACATAACAAATTAGAAGTTGAAAAGTAACTTGTCATGTTATTGTGAGTAGAAAGTCCAAAAAAGATTTTTAAATGTCTCAATATTTTTCCATTCGTTATTTTGCTTCTCAGCTCTTTTATTTTATTTTATTTGGGTGCAAGCTAACTGTGTGATGTGTGGATAATAGGCTTAGCAGTGGGATGGCCCAGGTATGCAACCTGGTGGGTTGGGTGGATAAACTTGAAATATATATATTCCCTATATTTAAAAAATAAAAAATTGGGATGAATTATCGGCCAATGAATTATCGGCCAGTCCTATGTGATAGACTTATTATAGACTTAAATACCTGTAAGTCTGGTCAATAGGTTCGACCAGAACTCGCCCCTAAAATTGAAGGCATTCAATTGAATACTCCCTCCATAGTGTGATGCCGCCACTATATATATATATATAGGGAGAAGTTTTATGGCAAAAAGAAAAATAAATAATTGAAAATATTGTCACTAAGATAGAGAATCTTTAACGGTATATCAATTTTTTTTTTATCAAATTTAAGTAAAATTTTTTTTTGATATCAAGTGCTCCAATAGAGTGTTTTGGAGCTTCATCAGAATACCCGGTCAACCGGGTGGATGTCCGGCTAGTTGACTGGTCAGTGTAAATTTTTCATCATTTTTTGTCTTGAGGTGGTCATCTGGGGGATAGATCGGACAGTGTAATATTTTCACAAATTCTTGTCTTGAGGTGGTAATCCGACGGCAATAAACAGTGATTTGATGAAAGTTATATTGGTTCTCAGTTTGATGAAACAAAAGTGAAATTCTGGATTTGATACATATTTGATGAAACCGTTGGAGCAGAAAAATGAGTTTTTTTTACCAAATTCAAATTTGATGGCAAATTTGAGTAACCATTGGAGATGGACTAACAAATTAAAATTTTAGAGACAAAAATTTAGAATCAAAATCAATTTTTAAGAACAAAATATTTTTGTCAAAAATGTCATTATTATATATTTAGCGACGAAATTGAATAGTAAGTGATGAATGATTATTTCTTGTAACCAATTTGTTTTGTCAAAGTAAACATTTTTAGGACCAAATTGTTTTTCAAAATTTTGTTGTTAAAAGTCTTTTCTTGACTTTTCGGCATGACCTTTTGGTGATTAGAAAAATTAATCCCTAAATATTTTTTGCAACAAAATTTTCAAGAGAAAATAGTTTGATTAGTATATGTTGTATGTGTGCATTTTAGATATTATTGAAAAATCTAGAAACCTCCTAGATGTTGATTTGTGATTATGTATCAATTTTAAGCAAAATATAACAATCCCAATCAAACAATCAAGATAAAGAGAATAATGTGTTGGAAAGGCTACATCATTTGCATAAAAATCTTGTTTTCTATTAATACTTTTGTTAGGATTTTTTTTTCTTTTTTTTCTTTCTGTCATCTATAGCCCCTCCCCCCTCTACATTTTTCTTGTATAAAGGCTTTCTATATTTTCAGTAATCTTTTGATTGATTTTGATTTGTTTTCGGGTTTTACATAAGAGTTCAATAGTTAGAAATGAGATTGCGGGCCTAAACTTTTGATTGGTAAGGGAATTCACTATTTGCAGTAGAGAGAGGAAGAAGATAAAGAGTTATGGAGAGAAGATATATAGGCAAGGGGAAATGATAGTTGCAGAAAATTGATTTTAAAAAAAATAATGTGTGACTGAGATTCATCTAAAGTGTTATGTGCATCATAATTCAAATAAATTAAACCACACAGTGCACTTTTTGTGCATTTTTGTGTGTTTTAATTTTGTACATGTAGCATTGTTAATATGCAGAGGGATTAAAAAGGTTGGAAAATTATAATGAACATTATAGATGGGTGGGTGGAAGGGCCTCCTCTAGATTATATAGAGAGATGAGAAAAGCTTGTCTCATTGGAGACCATCCAAGACTCAACTTTAGTGCTATGTCAAAATTATTAGAGACATTCAATCCAAAACCATTTGATTATAGATTATATGAACTGAGTTTGGCTGACTTAGAGAAATGATGTGTGATAAGTCTCTAGTAATAGACAACAACATTATTTCTTCTTGTGGTAGCTGCCACATTATTTCTTGGGTTGTGTTTTCTTCCTATTGTTTGCTAGTTTTTTCTTTTGCTGAGACCTCATCTAATGGTTATGAAAAATCACCTCAATAAGTGTAATGACTTTTCTTAATTTGAAAAAAATGATAAATTCAAATTCTATTTTATAGTCATTGGATATATAATGGAAATCTTCTATCAAAATTATGTAATGGAGACGATCAAGCTTTGTTGATATAAGGATGATTAGGGTGTAGTTTGTACTTGAGGTTAATTTTTATTTGGCATAAGTAGTTTTGCTTGTGGGTGTAGCTCTAGTTGGTATCTTGCCAACTTGAAAATGCTGAGATTTTTTTGGGGGAAATTTTATTGTATATATTTAAAAATATAATTTTTATTTTAGGACTTCTTTCTCACACTCACTTGAGTTTTTTATCACACACTTTTGTTTAGGGCTCCTTTCCTCACCCTTGAAGCTCTTTTCTCTCTTATGCTTTACTTGTTTTCTACAACTCGTCTCATCTCATACATATTACTAGAAAATAGACTTCTATATCATTTTCCTTTATGCATACACTAGGATATTTCTAGACTCGCATCATAATGCTAGCCAATGTAGGAATTCTAAAAGACTTAGGTTCACCTAGATACTCTAAACGACATACATTCCAAAATATTCTAGATTCCTTAGACATTTACAAATTTTCAAATGACATTTTCCAGCAACCACATTTAATTTCATCTCCTTTTCTTCAACACCTTGATCGCTTCTTCATCTTCAACTTGAAATCCTGCCTATTTCTAATATTATTGAATGCTACCATCTTCATAGCAATCTACATAGATGTGCTTGGTTTAAACCTAGTTTTATTTAATATGCTCATCAACTTTTGCTTCACACGAGTTTGGGGATGATTTTCATGTTTTTATTTTATTCTTCTATGCCTCTAGAATTTTCCTCTGCTTCATCTTGAGTGTCAAAAAATTGCTCCAAGGTCATCCATCTTGTATCAAAACTAAAACTCTTCACACAAAATTGATTACTTAAAATTTTCAATATTTATTTATTTATTATTTTTTTTTATCTTTTGCTAATACGGTTAGTTGCCCACTTGGTCAATAATTTTTGCTCATTGTTGTTTCATGCTTCTTTCCAACTTCTTCATAAATTGCAATTTCTTGCATTTCAAATCTTTCTTCAATTTTCTCTTCTGCTTCTACTTTTACAATATCTTCATCATCTTCAATATTTTCCTACACATCATTGTCTTCTTTTATTTTTGAGCAACACTACATCTACTTAAATTTACACTGACAATCTTACTAAAAACATGCATGTTGAAACATTGCTAAAGATTACTTCATATTATTTTGACCGACAAATCCTGGTTTTTGCCATACCTAATTGGGAGATTTCATACCTTCAACATATTTCCAAACTTCTTCATGTATTGCGTTATTCAACATCTTCATTGCTTGCTCACTCTCTTTTGCTTAAATTTCACTTAGGATATGTTTGGTTCATGGATTTGGGAAAGGATTTGGAAAGAGAAAGGGAAAGGGAAAGGGAGAGAAAGGGATCATCCTTTCCCTTTCCAAATTCATCACTAAATCCATAAACCAAGCACAGCCTGAAATTGCAACTTTTTGGACTTACAAAAACATCACACCATAAATTACGTGCTTGAAGATATGTGCAAATTTTAACACCCCAAACATTATAGATGAAGAAGACCAATTTTTCATGATATGTGATCAATTGAAAAAAAATATAATAATCATTTTTTACTTACTTTAAATAGGTATCTTATCCACCTAATTGCAAAATCTCAGTTGGTTGCTTGAAGATTTAGCATAGATTCATTTGAATACTTGTCAATAATTTTCTTACCATTTTTCTTTTTTAACAGTATGGAAAGAATCCTTGAACGATATGAGAGATATTCATATGCAGAAAGGCAGCTTGTTGCAGCCGATATTGATTCACAGGTATGCCATCCATATAGACCAAACAAATGTTCATCATGGTAATGCATTTTGTTCATAAATTGGTTAATTTCTGATATTGTTGCTAAGTAATTGAAATATTAGATAATGTACCATAATTTGTTTAGGGACGCTGGACTCTGGAACACGTGAAACTCAAGGCCAGGCTAGAGGTTCTAGAAAGAAACCAAAGGTATCAGCCAATGGGTGACCTTGTTCTTCACTAACAGTTTGAAAGCAGCAATTTAGCATATTTTTTAATGTTTGCAGGCATTTTATGGGAGAAGACCTTGATACATTGAGTGTCAAAGAACTTCAGAGTTTGGAGCACCAGCTTGACTCTGCTCTTAAACATTTAAGATCAAGAAAGGTGGATTATGAAAGAATTCTCAACTCTTTTGAAGTATTTTTTTCCAGTGTGTTTTATGTCAAAATCAAAATCAAAATGACAACGCTTTTACTTGCAGAACCAACTAATGAATGAATCCATCTCCGAGCTTCAGAAAAAGGTGAGATCTCAATTTTTGCATCAAGGGAAAAAACCAACCTATTACATAGTATAATGGCTCAAGGTTTTTTGAGACCTCAAGCCAAACATCAAAATGAGTCTTCTGACTGGGCCGCTGAAAAATTAGAGCCTTCATTTTATTTTATTTTAAAGATTTTCTAAATGGCCGCTTTTTTTTTTTTTTTTAGATTGTGGGAACATAAAAAATAGAGGGAATAGTAACAACAAACATGGTAGAGGGTAAAACAGACCCAATAGATAGGACAAACATGCCAGACCCATTAGCAGTATTGATCGTAATAGGAGAGGGAGGGGGGGATACAGTTTGGAAGTAAGGAAAGGTGAGGAGTCATATGATGAGAGGCACCAGAATCAAAAAGTCAGACAGAGGAAGGAAATATCTGAAGAGGATTCAAGCAAACTTGAATGAAGCAAGGTGAGAGCAAAGGCAGGTGAAGATGCTTGAGAGGTGGATAGGAGATGTTGAAGCTGAGCCATCTGGGCACGCAAAGAAGCCAAGTTAGGATTAGAAGCCGGAGCAGATGCAGTATAAGCAGTAGGAGGTCGAAACTGTGTCTGAGGCGGCTGAGAAGACTGAGTAGACTGACGGTCCTTCTTGGGACAGTTGTACTTCCAATGGCCTTTTTGGTAGCAAAAAGCACACTCATCAGAGACTAGTGGCCCCTTCTTGGGCTTCACATGGCCCTGAAGCTGATGAGGTGGTGGGGTCGACAACAGAGGAGGCTGAGTAGGAACCAAGAAGACAGATGGAGATAGAGTCTGACTGGCCGTCTTAAGACGAGTTTCTTAGGATAGGAGCTCACGAACAATAGCATCCACATTGGGAAAAGGAGACCGATGAAGGATGCCACCACCGATAGCCTCATACTGAGGGGAGAGAGCTGTTAGAAATTGGACCAGACGACCATCTTCCCGAAACCGTAGATAATCATCTAGCACCTAGATGCTAGGAGGCTCCATTAAAGCAAACTGATCCCAGAGACCAGTCATCTCAACATAAAAGTCTTGAATAGATTTATCCCGTTGGCGAGCACCCTGTCGGTTTCCAACTCATACCGTTTGGCAAAGTTAGACTGTTGATAGACACTGAGTAAATACGCCCACACCTCCTTTGCAGTGGAATATTTAGAGAACATCATGCCAATGCGATCTTCCACAGAATTGTGGAACCAAGTCAGAACCTGAGCATTATCAGAATCCCAAGGATCACACGCAGCCTCATGTCCCTCTTTCTTGGGATCAGATGGCCAAGGGACTAAACCAGAAACATAACCCCACTTTTTACGGCCAACGATAAAATTTTTCATAACATTGGCCTAATATGTGTAATTGGAACCAGTTAGTCGGCAACTAATGGCATGACTTTTTTCTTCAGACATGATGAGCACTCAGAGGAGGTCAGATTGCAAATACCAGAAAACCTCGGGGTCAGAGTGAAATAACCAGCAAACCAAGATACTTAGCAATAACACCACCAAAGCTGAGAACCAAATCGCAAACCAAAAGACGAGGGCCAGAGGTGGTTCGCGACTCGTCTGAGGCATAGTACAACAACAATTGCAAACCAGAAGCAAGAATTGCGAGTTTGATGATGGTTAGAAGTAGATCGCGACAAGTCTGACATAGAAAACCAGTGTCGCGATGAAGAAGACAGAGTGCAGAAGTGACGATTGCGACGTGAAATCTCAGGTCGCACAACGATTACGACTTCTGTTGATGACGATCGCAATTTCGGAGGCTAATGGCTGAGGTTTCGGACACAGCTCTAATACCATGTGAGTTTCTGAAGATGATAACTTGTATATTCAACATGTATTATGTTACAAAGTAGTCATCAATTTATATAGCCCTAAGCTATGGCTGAACAAGGAAAGATTGAAAAAGGAAATACACCTATATGCCTAATTTACGCCTAATTCCTAATATGCACAATGCTAAATATACACACAATGCCATATATACACAAAATATGCTCACAGTTTGAATTATGGATTTGGGTAGGGATTTGGAAACAGAAAGGGAAAGGGAAAGGGAAAGGAAAAAGAAAAAGGTGGGTGAATTTCACCCACCTTTATGTAATCGAGGGTTTTCTCACTCATAAAGCAACTAGCGTGCATAATATGGAGTTTGGGAACAAAACCATTGTGTTATTGCTTCTGTTTGGTATGTCATGTGACAGGATAAGGCACTGCTGGAGGAAAACAAATTGCTTGCAAAGAAGGTGATTTTTAATATCTATCATCATCTACATTCTGATCATACTGGAAAAAAATAATAATAATAATAAAAAAATTGTTTTATTTGATTTATCTAACATTTCAAGCCAAAATAGATTAAGGAAAAGGAGGAGAAGGAACTTGCACGACATGCACAATTGGAGCAGCAAAACCATGACCAAAATTCATCCTCTGTTGATCTGTCACAGCCATTGCACTCCTTAGATATTGGGTTAGCTCTCTCTCTCTCTCTCTTGTATAAACAGTAAACAAAAGCTACAACGAAGTCTAATACATAATCATCCCAAAGCCATAAGTAACTCATTTAAGCTGCATCAAATGATTTGTTGCCGGAATGTGCAAACCTAGTTTTTTTTTTTTTTGGGTCAAGATTGTAGGATATTAGTTTGTAAGTAAGATTATAACTAAAGGGGTTGCCATTGCTCCATTAGCTCAAGCCCCTAACCTTCCTCTCACCACGATAGTTACAAGACCACTGGTTCAACCTAGTTGGGATGTTCCTTTCAGGAACAAAGTTTCTTTCCTAAATCCTTTTATCTTCAATGTAATTTTCACTTTTGAGTTTATACAATTAAAAAAAAAAAAAAAAAAAAAAACTTGCTATTATATAACAGCTGCTTATCATGTGAGCATTACCCAATGCAGTGGTGCTTACCAGGCAGCAGCTGGAAGCAATGGAGATGTAGAAGGAGCTCCATTTCAAACTCAAAATGGTTCAGTAATGCCACCATGGATGATTTGTCACATTAATGGATAGAGAGAGAGAGAGAGTCACCGTTTTAATCTCTATATGTCCATGGACAATTTGTATTGTTTACAGACCCCTATATCTATTTTGATTTTGCAGAAATACTTGGCTTGAACTGTCCTAGTCAAGGAATGGAGGAACAAGTCTAGTAACACAAACTGAATACAGATTTGAACAAACAAATTGATGGATATAATTTCTGATAAGTACAGCTTCACAAACAAATCTTTTAAAATCTTGCCCGTGTATGCTTTCTGTGTTCAGTTCTGTGTTTAGTTTGTGTTCTTACCATTATTGAAAAGGAAGGGCTGGGAGCCCCACCATGAGGGCAACTCAGCCATTCAACCCAAGTATTGATAGTGTATATCGAAACTGCATTGGAATCTAACAATGATTTATCTTTCCCTTTATGATTGGAGCTATTGATTAGACTCTTTTTGCCTTATTCCTATTGTTTGTTCTTTCATGGGTAATTTGTGCATGCCCAAAATTCTCGAATGTGTAAGACTCCAATGTTGCCAATAATTATTCAATAGATTATTATGTGATATTATTTACCTAGGCTACGTTTGGCATGTGTTTTTTTTTTTTTTTTTTTTAGGGGGGTTATATTCCTAGGCGCACAAAAAAAAAAAAAAGAAAAAGAATAAAAAAAGAAAAAACGAGATTAAAAAATTAATAAGACAAAATGTCACATCAAAATCATAATCATTTTATATTTTCTTTTACAAAAGTCAAAAAAACCAAAATGTTCATTCAAAATGAGGCTTTTTAGTTTCAGGTTAAAATAGTCAAAAAGTCAATCCACATTCCAAACAAAGGCTTAGTGTTCTCAATTAAGAGAGATTTGGTGTTAGACTCTTCACTGTCTAATTTATCTTTCAAAAGGACAAGAATTATATAGGTACTTTCAAAGCTCCTTAATATTTTAAAACTTGTTTTTTTTGCTATATTACTCTCATATCTACTCACATCAAAGTCATAATCATTTTATATTTTCTTTTACAAAAGTCAAAAAAACCAAAATGTTCATTCAAAATGAGGCTTTTTAGTTTCAAGTTAAAATAGTCAAAAAGTCAATCTACATTCCAAACAAAGGCTTAGTGTTCTCAATTAAGAGAGATTTGGTGTTAGACTCTTCACTGTCTAATTTATCTTTCAAAAGGACAAGAATTATATAGGTACTTTCAAAGCTCCTTAATATTTTAAAACTTGTTTTTTTTGCTATATTACTCTCATATCTACCAGCTCTCCTATTAAGCCATTTTCACAGTGTATTTCAGAGTAAAATTTTACTTCGAATCATAGTCAATTTTACTCTGATTCAGAATAAAAATTATTATGATTTAAAGTAAAATTTTATATTTTTAAACAAATCAACATATTTTTAACCAGGGTAAAATTTCAGAGTAAAATTTTATTTTAAATCATAATAAACTTTACTCTAACTCAAGAGTAAAATTTTACTCCGATTGAGAGTAAAATTTTATATCGTTAAGCAAATCAGCATGTTTTTTATTCAAAGTAAAATTTTACTCTGAAAGTACAATTTTACTATCATTGTATAATTCAAATCTGCAATGAATTGATAGTAAAATTTTACTGTCACTAGGAGTCCAAAAACAAATAATAGAAGTACACAATAACAGAGTAAAAGTTTACTATCATTGTATAAAAAAAATAATAAAAAACTGAACAGATAACACTAAAGTAAAAGTTTACTCTCATTTTAACAAACAAAAATAGTGCACAAACCAGAGTAAAATTTTACTCTCATTTTATCAACAAAAATAGTGCACAAACTAGAGTAAAATTTTACTCTCGTTCTGTCAAGCAAAAACAAATCACAAACCAGAGTAAAATTTTACTTTCATTCTGTCAAGCAAAAACATAGCACAAACCAGAGTAAAATTTTACTCTCATTATGTCAAACAAAAACTAGAACACACACCTAATTGAACTCTGCAAATCAACAAAAATAAATCAAAAATAAAAACAAAAACAAAAGAACTAATCAACATATGTCGAAGATCAAATAACGACATCGAACCAAAGATGAGGGTAAAGTCATCAATCCAGATCTTAAGAAAAATTTTAAGCTACAAGGTCGACTCCAAATCAAAATTCAAAATCGAGTTCGTAATGGTGAAATCACACCAAATTCGAAATGCCACAAACCAAATCTAAGATGTTATTTGTTGAATCCAGATCTGAGATATTATAAGTTGAATCAATCTTACCCAAGCCTCTTAAGCATAGATCGCAAATTCAAATTAGGGCTCCTCTCAGATCACAAATTGAACTGAGGACTGAAGGAAGATGGAGAACCTTTGTTAGAATTTTAGTCCAATGGAGTATGGTAGAGGTGTATGAAGCCTCTGGTTTCTTCAATTCTAGGGTTTCTAGAAGAGAAATGGAAGGCTTGATTGACATTGGATGCAGATGAAGGGTAGCGCCGGGAATCATGGCGATTGGTGGCCGGAATACATTGGCGGACGGTGCTCCGGTGGCTGAGGTGGCCTCTGACATGGCTGTGAAGAGAAGCTGTGTTTAGAGGGGGAAGAGAAAGACGAAGAAGGTGGGGAGAGAGTGGGAGGAGAAGGTGAGAAGATTTAGTTGAGGGTATAATAGTCTGATAAAATATTTAAATAATAAATTTTATCCTTTATGTAAGACTTTATAATTATGAGAGGGTTTAGAAAGTATAAATTTTTTCTTAGTCCTTTTAATAAGGAAAGGAAGGTAAAAAGGGTTTATAGTCAAATTTCCCCTCAATTAATGACATAGTTAGAAATTTTATTTTTACTAAGTAATTACGAGATAAGAAATAACTTATCTAGTGTGTTTATTATCTTTATATTTTTCAAGGGTACCACGTAAATATTATCACATGGTACTTGGGACTAGCTAATAATATTTTGCTTTGGACAATTTGATACTACGATAATTCAATGTCTTATAGATAAAAATGTAAGGACGAAATATTTTAGTTATCAAAAGTATTATTATTGTCTCAAAAAGTAAATATTTTGTCTAAAAGTATGTGTATTGATGGCATTTTTAAAATTTTATTATTAAAGGCCTTTTTAACTTTTCAGGATAGACTTTTCATAATAATTTACATGATGAATGAAATTGGTCTCTTATTAATTTTTGTAACAAAATTTTCACTTTGAAGATGACATTTTGGTCCCTAAATCTTTTAGATCTTGTGGCGAGAAGATTTATATTAATGTTTCATTTGTTCAACAACAAAAAAATAAAAATAAAATATTCCAATTTTAGTTGTGACTTTAAAATTAATGTGGTAGTGATTGTATTAGTGGAGGTGGCGGTAGTGATGGCAGTCGTAATGAGTCCAGGTCCTCTGCCATTATTTCTTTTCTGCCATACTTTTAAAACGATGTTGTTTTGGAACATTTTTTTACCTTTTTATTTTTCCTTTCTTTTCTCTCACAGTTCTCAACGTTTGAGAAAGAGAAACTGAGTTTGAGTCAGCCATCTCTAATCCTAGAGAGAGAAAGAGAAACTGGAGAAAGAGGAAAATGGGTTGTGGGAACTCGTTCTTCACTCTCACCAAAACCTTCCCAGTGACTCTCATTACATATAATACAATCATCTCTGCCAATGCCCTTCTCAAGCAAGACTTCTCATCATCATCCTCATCAATATCATCAAATGGGTTCAAATCAATCATCCAGATGCCAATGGACATTCTTATTTGAAAAGCTAATTCCAGAAATTCTATTGATTTTCTATTTCTGATTTTGGGTTTACTTTGGTAGCGTTTGGTAGAGTTTTGGATTATGATTTGAGAATAGAGTTGTGAGAGGGTAATTTGTGTGAACAAATTGGGCCGAGCTAGGCAACATCATTGGTGAACATTGGGCCGAACGGTGGGTAGAAGAGGAGTTATTGGGTAGCTCGATCTTTGGCTGAGCAAGCGCTATGACGGTCGCGGTAGTGTTGTTAGGGCTTGGGCCTAGCTATCTGGGAATAAACCTTTAGCAGACTGAGGTGGTTACAAGTGTAGTGGGCCAAGGTAGGTGTAGCCCGGCAGGTTACTCGTCTGTAGTTAAGGTCATCACGGTTTGGCCATGTTGAGCATAGAACTGAGGTAGCTCGATTGGGTACAGTCTGTCGAGAAGAGTATTAGGCCATCTCACTTGGTTTCTAGTGAGAGGGGTGTTCTAAAGGATAAGCATTATCCTTAGGTATTTAATTCCTTGGAAGACTTTGCTAAAGAGAGTTAGAGTCCTACTAGGATCGTGCTAGGCAAAATCTATGAAAACTTATAGCAGGACCTATGTAGAGGTATTGCAATTCTTACTCACAAATACACAGAGCTTTTGTGTCTATTGTCTATTTGCTGACTTAGGCATCGGAGGGGTTTTCGGCACACACCCGCCAGCTATCTTACATTTGTGTTTTCAGGTGATAACACGACGACGTTTGGAGGAGTGCAAACTTGATCAACAGGATTATACGAGACAGATTATTCTTTGCCCATACAATTGGCGTCGTCTGTGAGAAAAGGGACAAAGAACAAACCTTTGGATTAAATTTGCCTTCAATTAATTTCAATGGATAATGAAGACTTGCCACATTCTGCTATTAATGGGCAAACCCCGAAAGGGATCGAGAGGGGCGAGGGTTTGCCTTTTGTCCGGTCCATGGTAGAATTGGATCCCTAATGACAGAACCCACAGAAAGACGCGGAGAAAGATAGGGCTCAAGTCCTCGTCGCTCTTAAAGCCCTGATAGACAGAGGCGGATGATGGATCCTCAAGTTTTGGAAGATCGCGTAAAGAAGCAAGACAAATTGATAAGGAGAATGTCGGCTGACATGGAGATGATGAAACGCCAGATAAAGGGCAAAAGGGTGGCAGGAGAAGAGATTTGTGAAGGCAAAACGCATTCTTGTCACTCAGGAGATAGTGATAAGCAAGTCACACCATCACAATCTGAAAGCAAAACCCTCAGGACAAGCGACACACAATCAAGGACTTATAGGACTCGTTACTCCAGGTCTGAGAGAACAAGGACCGAAAGGTCTTACATGGATGAAAGCAGTTATCGACCCTCAAATACGCATCAAACAACGTCCCAGCACACCGAGTTGCCTAGGTCGGCGGACCTATGGACAATGCTAGAAGAGAGGGCTCGAAGGAGAGAATTCGCCTAGGCATGCGACCCCCAAAGGCTCTCTGCTCTGCAACGGTTAGCTCCTAGGACACATGGAAGTGTTGAGGTTGGGATGCCAGTGTTGCGTCTTGCTTACGAACTAGCAGACAAAGAGTTAGCAAGGTTGCAAAGCTCATCGTTCATTCCGGCAATAGAGAATGCACCATTACCCTTGGGCTTCCACCAGCTTAAGTTCACAACTTATGAGGGGAAGTCAGACCCCTACCCTACATGCACTTTCTCCACTTTCGCCAGGTTATG